TGTCTTTATACCTAGATTAATGTTGTTGATCTGTAATGTTGTGTTGGAACTAGTGCTCCTAACTTAAATAAGGGCACATATGTCTTTTCAATCATTTTTAATAATATAAGTTTTGTCTGGCCGACTGGAAGTAGGTCATGTTGAGACTTCCAATTCGAACCAGAATTTCCCTTTCTCTCTTTCTCTCTTTCTTCCACCTTTCTACCTCTTTCTACCTAACCGATCTTAGACGGATAGAATTCTAAGGCAGGCCGAATCATAACAAACACAATGTCACATTATTTTCAAATATTGATTAGGGGTCAATTTTTAAATGTCGTTTTAACATTAAAGAAAAAAAAGAGTTTTCGGAAAATCCTTAAAAAGGTATATTGGTCACCTACCAATACAATATGACACACCCAAAATGGAGCATATTGTGTCAAAATTTTGAACCTCGAATCTCACTGCTCACACTTTATCCTCTTGTGACGTAAGGACTCCACAAGGGTACAGGCCTATGATAATAGCACTGCGTTTCAATTAAATACAAGAATGAAATTATGCAACTCCTTACCAGTGCTCCAGACCACAAGACCCATAGTTCGGTTGGACCAGAAGTCCCATGATTTGAATGTCCACAGAGCAAGACTTGCCACAGATGGACCTAACCTCAAAAGATTGATTGCAAGAAAAGAACAAAAAAAAAAAAAACATTTGGTGGGAGTTATGGGATTCAGCCCTTTAAAGGACAAATATTACTCTGCATCCATCGCATGAGCATTAGAGTATAGGCACATAGGTAATGGCTGAGCACCAGCCCAAAATGATGATACTCAAAACCAGCTTAAGCATATTGCTTCGAGAACCCTAACTGGATAGAAACCCATCAAATGCCTGCAGAAGCCATCTCAACTTGATTTTCTTCTTTTCTTTATCATTTATTAGGATTTCCAACTAGTAAAGCTTCATGCTTTCTCATGTTCTCTTTGTTGTTATTGATAGAATGTCATGTAGTTAGTCTCAATTGAGTTTAGAAGTTTTACATTTACTGCCTATCATCATGTTCAAATAAATCCACCTCATGTTTTCTCCATGATAATGATCATCATCCATGCCTTATCCTAGCTATATGGGGTCAGTCCATTTTGCCAATTTGTTCTATTTAAAATCATATCCATTGTTAAGTTATTAGTGCTTAAATCATTTCTTACTACTTCTAACCATGTCCTTTTTGGTCTACCCCAAGATCTTCTAGCCCCTTAATGTGTAACAAATCACTTCTTCTAACTAGTGCAGTTGGTGGTCTTCTATGCATGTGCCCAAACAATCTTAGTCTACTCTCTCTCATTTTATCACCTATTGGAGCTACTCCTATGTTCCCATAGATAACTTCATTCCTAATCCTATCCATTCTGGTTTTTCCACTCATCCATCTTAGCATTCACATTTCTACCACATCTATTTCCTGGACATGTTTCTTGGTTGCCCAAAACCCTGTTCCGTACAACATAGCTGGCCTTACAACTGTTTTATAGAACTTTCCTTTTAATCTACGTGGTATTTGCCTATCACTTATAAGTCAAGATGCACCCCTCCATTTTCCCCATTCTGCTCTAATTCTTTGTGTTATATCCTTCTCAATCTCTCCCTTCGTATGAATTATTGAACCAAGATACCGGAAATGGTCACATTGAGTTATCTCTTGGTCTCCAATCCTAAGTGTATCTTGATTTACACTCCTATTATTACTAAATTTATATGTCAGATACTCTTGTTTAGTCCTACATATTTTAAAACCTCTTGTTTCTAAGGCATTTGTCTATAAGCTTAATTTTGCATTTAATCCTTCATTAATTTCATCAATTAAAACAATGTCGTCCGCAAACAACATGCACCATGGAACTTCCTCTTAAATATGTTTAGTTAATTCATCTAGAATCAATGCAAATAAGGGCTAAGTGCTGAACCTTTGTGAAGAGCCATAGTAATTATAAAATCTGAAGTCTCCCCTACTTGTGTTCTAACATTGGTTGTTGCCCCCTCATACATATCCTTAATTAAGTCTATATACCTATTTTGAACCCCTTTCTTTTCCAAGACCCACCATATTATCTCTCTAGGAACTCTATTATATGCCTTTTTTCTAGATCAATGGACACCATATGAAGATCCTTGCTCTTCGCTCTAAACTTTTCTATCAATCATCTTAAAAGAAATATAGCTTCCACGGTTGATCTCCCTAACGTTAAGCCAAATTGGTTCTCTAATACACTTGTTTCAAGTTGTAATCTTTGTTCAATTATTCTCTCACATACTTCCACAGTGTGTGTGGTTTCATAAGTTTAATCCCCCAATAGTTATTGTTATAACTTTGTATATTGCCTTTGTTCTTAAATATAGGCACCATGTTGTTGTTTTTCCAATCATCAGGCATCTTCATTTCTTTCACTATCTTATTAAATAGTTTGGTTAGCCTAAATTCAATTTTACCACCTCAACTTTTTATCTTATTTTATTTACTGGACCTCAACTCATTCCCACCTTAACCTCATGGCAGAAAAAAAAATTCTCTTCAAGAAGTATAAAATAAATAAAGGTAATATAAAAGTGCCATGCGCCCCAAACTTGGCCAGGCTATGGCCAACCACCCTACATTTTAAATCTTTCTCCCTCCCTCCTCAATATATTCTCATTTTGCCATGGAGCCAACCCTTCATCCTTAAGCAATCTCACCACCACTTTGGAATCTCCTTCTAACTCTAAGTTCTTACAAGCTACAACTGAGTGACTTGAATAATTTCAGTCCTTGCCAAACTACAGTCAGGTCTGCCTTTGTAGAGTTTCCGTGGCCTATAAGTCCTAAGAATAAGGCCAGAACATTCCCATTGTAATCTCTAAAAATCCACACAATGGTAGGTTGACATAGCAGTCCATACATCGAACATATTGAATGCCATAATCGCAAAGCATAGATTACCCAAGACAATTTTCAAAAGCATAACATATCAATTAGAACAAAATCGGCCAGATATCTAGCACTTATGGTCATAACTAACAAGCCACAGATTAAGAACATTTCTCAAGAAGAAGAAAATATCATCCATCGACTTTGCAACCTTTAAAAAAAGCGCTGGAGTCTTCGATGGAGAACCGACAGGATTCATGAATGATTTATAAAGTTCAAGTCAATTTACTGTCGTGTTTTCAATATTCTTTGGCAAACAAAATCGTATATACTGCATAGTCGTTCTTCACAATTAAAGATGAATAGATAACGTGGAATTATGGTATGCAGAATTAATTATGTAAGGTGATCCAGATTATTTGATTTCGGGTCTATTCATTCTAATGACAAAATATAGCTGAGAATTCATGAACATACGGGAACGCGTTTAACAAAAGTCTGCCAGTCCGCTAGCTTCCGAGCTTTGGTGCACTGATTGAGGTGGGTTTGGAGAGTTTCAGCTAGAGAAATCTCGTTAAAGTTGGCTCCAGATTCCGACTGTTTGTAGTGGTTCAATGATTTCTCTGCTTCTCCTAATCTGCAAGAACACAACAAATGCAGCATAAACAGAACTGCTATTGAGGGATACGGTGGGAAGGAGACTTATTGAAGCCTCTATTTTTCTGAGAATAAACCAAATGTAAAAAAGAAGTACAAGAAAGAAGGGGTAGAGTCCCTGTTTTCCGTGCGTAATAGAGAAGAGAGGGAGAGAGAGAGGAGAATCTTACCAGGAAAACGGTGAATACTTGGGAATCGCCGGCCGCTCCTCACTCGGGCATTTGGTTTTTCCGATGAAGTGAGGTTTTGGTCTTTTGATTGGGAAGGACGCATGAGGTAGGGCTTTATGTTGGGACGCAGGAGGCAGGACTTTCTTCGCCCTACCGACAGTGTTGTACGTCCGACTGTCCGAGCCCGGATCTCCTGCCCACAAAGAACACGTTTACCCACATCACACAACATCGCAACTACACATGGAAAATCAGCCCCCACAATTACTCACAGCACATCCATGCCGTGTATTGGAAACATTGATGTGATGTGGGATATTCTCAATACACGGCGGGAATGTGATGTGGGATGTTGTGGGATTGTGTGGGACTGATTCGATCTCACGGGAGATGTAGGTATTGCATTGTGGGTAGACCGGTTCACGGGCTGGGCTTTGGGCCTGATTTATACTGTATCGGGTTTGGGTTTCGGGTCGGGTCTCTTTTAATTGTTGGCAGAAGCCAAGCCCGAATCCAATCCATGAACAAATCTAATTGTGGGTAAACGTGGTAGAATTCTTATGAGCGGGAGATCCGGAGTTCTATCCAACTTAGGACTCGTTTGGAGAGGACTTGGTATTGTGGATGTTTGGGAGGGCTATCCGTTGCCAGCTCTTGGCTTTTCGAGGTGGTCCCAATTCGGATCACCTGCAAATAGTGTTTGGTGAAAAAATTCTGGAAAGCACAAATTTACTGCCTTAGGTGGTGTTTGATAAATCTAAAGTTTCATATCTGAAAGGTTAAAAATACATTTTTGTGTCTGGAATCTAAACAGAATCATAGGTGCTTTTCTACTTTTTAAAGGCTCTGAATCCATAAATTTGTTTGTGTTGGATCAACCCTTTACCATTTAAAATTTACTGATTTTACTATTTTACCCCTAGAACGTACTATTTTGAAATGTTTAGTTCAATTTGCATTATCTCATAAAAAATATTTTTCAACCTCAAAATAATATTGAAACAATACAAATAAAAAATTAATAATTAATAAATGAAACAATTAAAATATAAAAAACTAATTAATGACTATAAAATATTAAAATAATTAATAACTAATAATTTACACAAATAAAAATTAATGAAATAATTAAAAATTACTAGTTAATAAAAATAATTAATAAATAATAAATAGCATAAGCAAAATTAATAAAAATATTGAATATTTAATAAAAAATATTAATATAGTTTATAATTAGTAAAAATAATTTATAATTATTATTATATTATTACTCATTGTACCGTCCTTGCTGCAAGTTGCAGCGACGGTGGCGGGAAGACAGGGAGAGAGAGAGAGAGAGAGAGAGGCGTTCTTCCTAGAGCTTGCATTCACGAGCAGCGTTTCCTCCCTAAGAAAACACGAATGACTAGGTTTTTTGGGTTGGGGTTAATCAGGGGTAGCATGCGTTATTTCCAAAAGATTGGAAGGGTAGTTCCAACTATGCACCGGCTCTGAAACGCGTCTAAGTGCGTTAAGAGCCGACCCACACGCTATAGTTTTAGATCTGAAAACAAAATTCAAATCAATTTTAAGAGGAGAAATCAAACGAGTCTAAAGTCTGAAAAGTAACGTTTTCATATTCAGACGCCTAAAAAAGTGCAATCAAATGCCCCCTTATAATTAAAAAAATGGAAGTTGTCTAAAACGCACCCTGAGTTTTTAACATTTCTCTTAAACTCACCACAACTTTTCAAAATATCTAAAGCTCACCATGTAGTAAGTTTTTATTTTCTAAAACTCACCTTCCATTAGTGCACCGTTAATGCTTCTTAACAAAGGTGTCCATGTCAACATAAATAACAATTTTCATGACCAAATAACCCTTGAATGGTGAGTTATTGAAATAATGGTATTTTTTAGTTTTCAATTTTCTTGTTTTTTTGCATTTTTAGTATTTTGTTATAATTTCCAATGTTTTTATGATTTCTGTTTCTTTACGTTTTTTCTATTTTTTACAATCTATAAATTTTCCTGTATTTTTTGTTATTTATTTGCAATTTCTATGTTTTTCTATAATTTTTTGTGTTTTTTTACAATTTTCATTTTTTTATTTTGTTTTTCAATCTCTATAGTTTTTATAATTTGAAAATAATTTTTTTTGTTTGCAATTTCTATAATTTTTTATATTTTTTGTAATTTCTATGTTTTATGTATTTTATATTTGAAAATATTTTTTTGAACTTTTTCCTTTTTCATGTCTAAATGTTAAAATGGTAATATATTAACACCCACTAATTTATTTTGTATATATTTTATATTTTTCTATGAAGGTTAAAATGATAATATATTAACACCCGTTAACCTGTTTAACGTCAAGTTAGTGACATGGTGAGTTTTAGACATTTTGAAAAGTTGTGATGAGTTTAAGAGAAATTCTGAAAACTCATGGTGAGTTTTAGACAATTTCCCTAAAAAAATGCTTCATTAAAAAAATTAAAAAAAATTGCTTCTGCTAAAATTTCTTTTTGTCACCTTCGATAAAAGTAACACAATAAAAGCTTTGGCCTTCCTAAACAAGACTCAACTAATCGAGAATTCGAGATCTCTTGAAATCCAAAACTTTGCGTATACGACATGCAACCCCACATTAAGGGGGTGTTCTTTTTTTGGATTTTGAGAGGGGGAAAAGAATCCCATGTTCTTTTTTCAGATTTATGTGGGGACCAGGGAAATTTATTTTCCTGGGTATCATTTACCCGGGTAAGTGATACCCATCTCCTAGGTGGGTAAATAACTTTCCCACCTAGGGGAAAATTGACAATACTTGAATGGGACAAAAATGTCCATTTAATAATGGATTTTTATGGCTAAAATGGCCATTGCCTTATTTACATGGGAAATAAAAGAACATGGGTAAATGCACTTACCCGGGTAAGTCTTTCCCAGACTTACCTGGGTAAGTAACTTATCGAAAAGCGAACAAGGCCTAAGAATGTCACCATACATCTATGTCAAATTCTAGCCCCACGTTAAAGACCACCCATACATTTATTTCAAATTCTTGAGGAGATATTTTTAACATGCAAAAGTGCAACTGAATTCTTATAAAATGGATTATCTGAATTCAATGGCTATTCAACAGGTTGTGGAATCAATGATAATACCCTACGTTAATGAAAAGTTAAAAAGTTACAGGTTTCTCAGCATTCCTTAACACAGCTAAATGGTAATTGACCCTATAAGGCTGTCAATGGCTCGATATAAAGCAAGAGGAACAAAAATTTTTTAAGAAATTTAACATAGGCTCAGTTTGGAAGGAGTACAAATACAAATATGTAACCTTGCATTTTGTATTATTTGTATGCATTTGTACTGTACTAGTAAACATGTACGTGCATTTGCACGTGACAGAATCTCCAAGACAAAACTATATTTATAATTCTTGGACAGTTTTTGAACAGTTATAAGTGGGCAATTTCTTAACTGTTATAAGTGGACAGTTTTTGAGTAGTTATAAGTGGGCAGTTTCTTAACTGTTGTAAGTGGGTAGTTATTGGAGTGAGAGCAAAGGACATATATGCCATTTTTTATGCCTGTTGTATGTTGCTTAGATAAGGGGTAAATATGTTTAATGAAAAGTCCAGAAAAGTGGGGTTATTCGCTCTTTTATTAGTAGTATAGATATATTTGTATTTGTACTCCTTCCAAACTGAGTCATAATTTCTTAAATTCATTTGTGGGAAGAGTGAAAATACAAATAATGTCATTTTCATGAACTTTGTATATTTATGTTCACATTGAACACATTTGGCAGCGAGCTCTGCCAAACCAACCCATCCTCGTCACAACTATTTGGCAATAGACATATGTGCAGGTCTTGGTAACATCTCTTCGATAGAAGACGTGCATACTCATCCCTATCACTGCTATTCAATAATAGACCCGCATAGTCATCCCAGTCACGGTCACCCGTCAATGGTCTAGAACTTAGAAAATTTTTAACTCTACTCTCATCAACCGAGGCCAAGCCTTAGATATCCAATAAAATATTACCACAAAGCCTTGGTCTCGAGAGTGGGGAGCAAGTGATGTGGGTATATTTGACTAGCTCACCAAATGGTGACACATGGCATCCTATGAGAGCATTTTCATCACTTCAGCCTTGACAAAGGCATTATCATAACTCCGATGAATCATCAATAAAGAGGAGAATTTACTACAAGCGTTACGTGGGCGACTGCATTTACCCTCAACGCACTTATGAGACTGTAACGCTTGGCCCTCATCCTTGTGATAACTTTGTCCATGATTGAGATTCACGGGACAATTACCAATTGCCCATTACTCCTCTCTTAAGGGACTCCAGCTATAAAAGGGTGCCAAAGTCTAAAGGTACATTTATGCACACTTGAGTATTCTACTTTACTCTCTTATTGTGACCTGAGCTTCCCTTAGTTCTTAACTAACTTGACCGTCAGAGTCCTCGCACTTGGGAACACTCTCAGGGCCTCAAACATCTTTTTGCTCTCTATAGGTGGGACCTTCAGCTCTTGGCCTTGGAAGTTCCCTTACTGCCCTCGCCTACAGATTTGGCAACAACTAATGGCAATGGGCAGGAATTATAATCTCCGTCCTGACCCCAAGGAGTTCAAATCAGCCCTCCACGAGACTTCCCCCCCCCCCCACAATGTCCCACAGCACATCCTCGTCGTGTATTGGGAACATCTCCCAATGATAATACCAAGAATGATGATGTCATCATCAAGAAATGATCCCAATACACGACAAGGATGTGCTATGGGACGTTGTGGGGGCTGATTCGGTCCTGACCCCGAGGGATTATGTGTGTTATTTGCTAGTATTTGTGTTATTTAGATCCTGTTCTTGTTATCCTCTATTTCAACTAGTTGGGTTTAGGTCAAATTGGTAAATGCTACATATAGAAAATATGTAATCAAATTGAATTCATATCTATGTATGTTGGATCTGAATCTAACCTGTTTACAATTATACCTAGATTGAGCTGTCATCATATGGGATAATCACATTACAAAGATTGTCCATTAATTATCTGTTTAGGAAATTGGTTAAGACAAAGATGGGCATAAACACCAAACATAAACCTACTTGTAACAAAAATTCCAAATAAAGGAGGCCTTTGCAGTCTAC